ATATTTTGTTTGTGTAATATTCTACTGTAGGTGAAATCTTTTCAAAAATCAAGAGACTGGGTAGATAAGAATATATGAATGACTTAATATTCAAAAGATGTAGACCATTGTGATGGCATGCGTTCCAAGTGGTACTATCTCGCAGTGGCACGCAGACTTGATGGATAAAGGTATACCTCAGACCTCACTGTGCTCACCAGTCTTTGAGGAGGATGGATTGGGTCACCTGTTGGGCTTGACTTGGTTACTGATGCCTTTGGTTTTCTCCAGGAATGAAGTATTCAGCACAGTGATTCAGTATTTTTAGTTACTTTGCATGGGCTGGTAGTACCTCTGTTATGCTCTCGGTTACAATCAATTTAAACTCTGTGTAACAGTCTTGGTACCTTGCAGTAGCTATGCATAACCCTGTGGCACAGTAGACTCCCACGCCACCAGTGCAGTCAGTATGCTCTCATAGTGGTTTTCTATGCTATATGAAAATAGTCTTCAAGCCTTGGTTCTCTGATGCAGCTACCACAAGAGGTTGATATTTTTATAGTGGCGTGTAATCTCTTTTTCGGGAGGCTTTTTATGGAGGTAGAATTTGTAAAAGTTAGTATGCTTTGCCTCTCAACTGCATTAACATGCCACAGGCTCAGACTGTTTTTGTGTAAAGGATGTCAAAGAACGGCACTTTTTCTAAAGAGAAGTTTGATATTTTGTATGCTTGTTAAGAAAGTACAGTATTGGAAATTAAAGGTGGACAACTGATAATTGAGGAGTATGTCACTTAATTTTTTATGTATATTACCTGTTTACTTGTACAACTTATTGTACAAATTACATGCAGCTTCATTTTCAAATGAATCCTTAAAATAAGGAAATCTTTTTAGGAAAACATTTAATTTTTGTATTTTTGATTTTAAAGGCATGAGTTATGTCAATTTTCAGTGTATTAATGAAGATTTTAACTTTTCATCAGGTTGAGTGTTTTCTTACTATATTATCTGTTGTGTATGTGGTTAGCATATTGTGTCACTGAACTGTTTAAAAATCTAGCATGTAGAGCAAGCCTGTTTTGTGGAAAATCCTTATTCATTAAAAAAAAATAATCATGGCAGATTTTCTGCAAAAAAAAAAAAATTTGCAATTCAGAATATTGGGGTTTTTTTTTGTTTGTTTTTAATTTAAAGAAAGGTATTTTGCTTGCAGGAAAAAATAATACAGATTCATTTTAATGAGAATCTTTGAAATGTATTTATCTTTAGGGCATCTGGGCATCTTTATGCTGTTTGTCTTCTGTCTTTCTTGAAATAAAATGTACATACGTTACCTTTACATATGCTCTTGCTCAAAATTGTGAACCTGGTTACATTTCTCCTTGCTCTCTTTTTATGTTCAAACAGCAAAACCTATATAAGATCTAAACTTTCAACTTACATTATAATTGCTGAAAGCTTTACCAATTAAGTACATACAGACTCTATGGGCTTTCCCACAACTAGAAGGGAAATGTAAGCACCTGTATAAACCATTGTGCCGATAGGCACTTTAAAAACTACTTTAGCCACCTTTTATTGGTAAAGCTGCTTTTGATCCCCTGCTGGAGAGTTCCTTTAAGTCAACTGACAAATGAATCAAGCCTAACAAGATTCTGTAAAGAAATAAGCTAAGGGAAGATTTTCTATGGCCTGAGAAAATTTCTTGATATCAATTTATTTTTTCATTACTTGATTTGAGTCATTTTAAATTTGTTATTAATACAAAATTTAGATTAAGTTAGAGACCGTTACCCAGCTTCCTTCCTCCTTAATACGTTTTATTAGTCCTTCTTTCCTTTATCTGTTGGTAGATGTTATCTTAAACATTTCCGTTTAGTTAAATGGAGGTGTTTATGAATTAATGTGCCCAGCCCCTTCAGTTCACACAGGAAACATGAACTCTTAGAAACTGACCATAGTAAATGCAGGAGAGATGGATACCTGATATGACACAGAAAAAGTGACCTATATACACATTACAACTCTGAAGTACATATTATAATTGTGATATTTCCGGTGGTAAATGTCTGACTTTTAAAGACATTCTTTTAAATATTTGTATTATTGTTAGGATGTTTTAATCAGTTGTGTTTTTTAACGCCATGTAATATATGTAGCCCTGATCAGATTTATAGCAGCATATTTCTCCTTGGGTCTTAAAGTTGACAACAATTTAAAAGCATAAATTGTTTTATATTAGCTAGTATGTATATTTATTTACCCAATGGCTTTATCTTATTTCCCAGAATTTGGAGGGGGATTTGTTGAAAGCATTGTAACTTCTATAAATGGCTATTTTCTTGTAACTGTCAGTGAAAATGGATGTGTATATTGTTTTTTTTATACTCCTCTGGTTTTCCTGGTTTGTTTGTTTTGGGGGTTGGCGGGGGGGGGGGGATGGTTAAACGTAGAATCTTTTTTTTTTTTAAAGTTATCTTTGGCCAATGACTTTTTCAGTTAGATATTTCTTTCATTTAACCATCTAAAGAAGTTTGTTTTTCATTGTTTTGTTCAGTCAACTTCCCTGAAAAACAGAGACTTCATCTCATCAATGAAGAAAGCATTTCATTATTCCTACAAATCTTTACAGCAAGCACAGACTTCTTCATAAGGACCAGATCTTTTCCACATCTTCTGTCAATCACATAAAGCTGAAATGTAAAGGACACTGACGCCTTCATTTAACTGTACTCACATGATGGTGTTACATACGACATCGTTAGCTAGTTAAGGCTTTCTGACCTGAGTTCTCTTTGTCTTCCTAGGTATTTATTTGTTATCTCTTTTAATCTTGTGTATCTAAATTAACTTAGTGTTAATAGTCACCCACCGAATAACTATGCCAAGCAACTAGGAAAGAATGTTAATTTTATTTCCCCTTATAGGGGAAGAGTGGACTGGGAACAAAAATGTATGGGCCAAAAGGCCTTAGGCTGTCATTCATCCACTTTCTTGTTCCTCTCATGAAGCTACTTTTGAGTATACTATTTGAGTATACTATTTTTTTCAGTGCTTATGTGCTTGATTATGTCATTACTTTTCATGTCTTCCCCTGAGTTAAAAGCCTACTAGGAACCTGTATAAAATAGAATTTAAAATTTCAGAATAAGAACCACAGAACTCAGTATCTTAATATCTAAATGCTACGTAAATTATTATTGGAATCCAAGTCTCAACTCACTAGGATACATTTTTATAAAATGTTTCTCTGTATCTTGAATTAAAATTACTTGCCCAGAGGCAGAATTCCAGGGTTATAATGCATTTTGAGAAATTTTTAAAAACGGGAGTTGAGAGCAAGAGGTTTATACTTACTTTATGGTTTTGATATTAGTATTTTAAAATACATCAGTGATTCCCAACCCTGATTGTTCATCCGTGTTACTCTGTTGAGCTTTCGAAATACAGATTCCTGAGGCCTTAACCTCTGCAAAATTGTCTGAGTCTAGAGTGGGGCTTGAGAATTCTGTGTTTTTAAAAAGCTCTCCAAATGATTCTAATAGATTTGGGCAATCACTGCCTAATGTGACAGTGGTTTGAGAGTAGGCAACAAAATAAAGTTTACCAGATACTTCTTTGTGGTGGAGTTTACCAGATTTCACAGAACTTATTCAGGATACACGGAGGAATACAGAAGATTGAGGCTACTGCTCATTATCACTGTCTTTCATACTTTTTAAGAGTTTGCATTTCTAGCACTTGAAATAGTTGATCATATACACAGCTGAAGGACATATCCCTGGACGAGACCATTATATATATTAACTGTAAAATATTTCACTATTTTTTTATTTTATAAATCTTTGTAGAAATAAGCAATGAAATAACTACTTTCATCTTTTGAAATGGGATTTTTCAAGGCAGTGTCCTTTTGGCATTAAGGTAGTGGGGAGTTAATATTCTCTCTGCCTTTTTCCACAAGAATCAATATAGATCATGGTCGTTTAAAATACTCGATTTAATTTCTACATATTTACTATGCAGTATAGCCGTGAACAAGTAATGTAGATTTAGTTTTCTCATCTTCAAATGCCCTGATCACCCTACCTCACAGGGTTGTTGTGGGGATAAATAAAACTTTTATGGAAGCACTTTTCTTGGGTGATACTTTATCAGCCATTAGAAACTATAACATTTAACAGCTTGCATCTGTATGGTGCTTTGTTGACAAGCACACAGTATTTTCGCGTTTGCTTCCCCTTTTGCTGATCTCTAAGGAGCAGAGCAGGTTGGATACATGTATATATGTGGCTTAGTCCCTTTGGTGTTCACCTGAAACTCAACAACATTGTCAGTCAGCTGTACCCCAATACAAAATAAAAAGCTGAAGGTTTGTGGGGGCGGGCGACACGAGCAGTAAGCAGTCTGGAAAGAGATGGAGCAGTGCTAATGGGGAGGCCACCTATGAGTGTTACGAATACGTTTGATGAAAGTAACGCTGAGTGTGAAGGAAGAAATGGGTGCTGAGGAAATTAAAGAATGATTACTAAATGGTTTGAGAAATCTGGTAAGTAATTGGGGTAGCAGGCTCATATAAATGACTTGCAAAGTTAGCATTCTCTTAGTGAACCAAATGAACTAGAGCTTTCAGTAGCTCATATAATGAGCTGTAATATATTTGATGTATGACAACCCTTGAAGGTATCTTTGACTAGACTTCCTGATGACGGTAAAAGTAATGTAAAAACACTGCCTTACTATGCCAGCCTCTGGATGGCGGAAGAAAGCAACCCTGATAACTGCTTTCAAGCTGTAACAGTCCAGCAGTGGAGACTGACATTTGTTGAGAAAAGGGATGTGAAGGGAAAGACTCACGTGGAGAGCGCTAACAGCACAATCTGAAGCCAGGCTTCGATTGGCTGAAGTATCTGTGCAACATTCATGGAATGTCAAGCCAAGCTTGGTTGGGGTGGGGGTAAGTTAAGCAAGGGAGTGTATCAGGTTTGTTTTAGAAAGATCATTTGCTATCGAATAGGGGATAGATTGAGTGGGTGACCAGTTGGAAGAAATACAGGCTTACCTAATTCTCCATGCAACCAATTTCCTTTCTCAGTAACAACAAATGGTTGATGTCTTGGGTGCTAGCACTATAAATGGATAATCTGAGCCCAGAGATTGGTAAAGTTCCGGGGGGAGTGTGGCTTGTCCAGGTTAATGACGAACAGAAAGGCACTCTGATTTTATATCACTGTATAAAAAGTACAGAAAAAATGTATAGGAGTTGAAAGGAGACGTGCTGTCATTGATTTCATGTTATGGGAAGGCTCTTTAGGTGAGGAGGGACCTCAAATCACTGATTTTGGTACTTTATAAAATTGTTTTTAAGGTGGGGCACACAGCATGTGTTATTTTAGTTCCCTGACCAGGGGTTGAGCCCAAGCGTCCTGCATTAGAAGTGTAGGGAGTCTTAACCACTGGGACCACCAGGGAAGTCCCTGTAAATGAGTTTTAACTTGGTGCACTAATTTCTAGGCTCAATTTCCCTCATTTACCTTCTTAGGAAACTAAACCACAATCAGGTTGGGTAAGGCTTGGTAAGGGTAGAACTAAAGAGAATCCTAGCGGCTAAAATCAAGGCGACCAGACGCTCTCTTCATCTCTCCTGGGAATCTGCCAGAAATCTGCAGGGCAGCTTAGCCTTATTTCTGGGGACTGTGAAAATCTTGGGTTTTGGTCTCCCATCCCCTGTATCTCACCTTGTTTCTATTGACATTGAAGATACATTGTCTTAGGACATCTCCAAGCAAGTTAATACAGATGACTACCACTTCAGAAATGGTGTTGCTTTCCTGAGTCTTCAACTTGGTGTATTTGATTGAAGCTGCCACCTTTTTAAGCCACTTATTTACTGTTTCCTAGTTCAGGTCATGCTGCAGTGTGTGGGTTGACTAGTAATACAATACAAAAGCAGCTTTCTTTGGGACCCAGCTCTATTAATTTTCTTCTGAGGCTACCTGTCATGAGGAAAAACAATGGCCTGATGGGTGGATTTTTGAGAAAAATCCCTAGAAATTTATTCATGCTGTCATTCCAGTTATTAAGTGCCCACCATGTGCCAAACAGACTTAAGTATGGCAGACCTTAGCTTCTCAAGATTTCTTACCTGCAGATAAGACTACTAGGATGTATTTGTTAAAAATGTTAGCTGAGGCCAATGATGGAATTGACTGGAGAGATACTGGGATACCTCATGGCATTTAAGGAAGAGCTGGACAACTGGACCTCAAGGGGAGGCGAGGAAGTAAGGTGGCTTGGGGAATCATCACTTCAGCAGGAGGTGGTGTCTGTTGTCATCTGCCACCAACTCCCAGGCCTGAGAGTCTTGAGTTCCAAATTCTAAAGTTCTAGGAAAGTATATTCACCTCAAGACCTAAGAAGCGTAAGATACCTCACAGATCTGTGGGCTGACTGAGCTCCGCTGGACAGCTCTTGCCCGGGGTCTTCTGGAGCAGCTTGTGCCCGGCCATGCCTCTTTTTATGACCCCATGGGCTGTAGCCCGCCAGGCTCCTCTGTCCACGGGATTCTTCAGGCAAGGATGCTGGAGTGGGTTGCCATTTCCTCCTCCAGGGGATCTGCCCGCCCCAAGGGTGGAACTCTCGCCTCCTGCATCAGGCGGATTCTTTCCTGTTGAGCCTGCAGGGAGGCCCCGGGCCCTCTGTGACTGCATTCAGACGACGGTGGCAGACTGGGGACTCCCTGGCGATTCAGAGGTCAGGATGCTGAGTTTCCACTGCAGGGGGCTCAAGTTCGATTCCTCATCAGAGAACTAACATCCAACAAGCGGCACGGCCAAAAAGATGGTACTTGTGGATGGAATCACTTGACAGCTCAACTAGGCTGGACGTCCAGTATGGCTTCTCTGCTCCCGCGTTTGATACCTCTGCTGAGATCATCTGAAACCGCCAGGCGCTGGCTGAGTATTTCTCCTGAAAACAGGTTCAGACCGCTCCAGTTCCAAATGTACACTACACATTTCTACTCGGATTTCAAAGGAGAGTCAAGATCTGTGTGGCCCAAATGTATCCTCATTCCTTAATGTGGAGAACCACCATTCAGGCACTTTCCGAAATATTGATGAAGCATTTACTACATGCCAGGCACTGTGAATACAGTAGCAAAGAACACAGACAAGATCCCTGTGCTCCAAATAGATATTAAATAGGGAAACAAGACCATTAGAAATTCGGATACATGCTATGACAAAACCAGAGTGACGAGATGAGTAAGTGGGGAGACCCCTTGCTGGAGAGAGGTCAGGGAAGAACTTTCTGCAAAGGTAACAGCTTCGAAGGAGGAAGGAAAGTCAACTGTATGAAGGTGTGGACAAAGCATTGTTGGCAGAATACAGCAAGGACAAAGTCCAAAAACAGGAAGAGGCTTAGTAGCCTCAAAGGGCCGGTAGCAATGATGTTAGTGAGAGAATGGCATCATAAGGGGCTTGGTGGGAGGCAGGAGTCAAGACTATGCAGAGCCTTGTGAATTTAAACCCCAAGCAAACACCAAGAAGCCACTAAAGGGATTTCAACGGGGAGGAAGGGGTACCATGTTTAATTTTTTAAATAAACTGCCTGGTATGTAGTGAATGGACTGTGGAGAGGGAAGAGCAGAAGACGGAAAACCCACTGGAAGCAGATTATAGAAGAGTCTAGAGAAAGCTTGGACTATGGTGGTAGCAAGAGGCATGGGGGTAATTAAATAGGTTCAAGATTAATAGTGGAATCAAATCGCAGACCTTGGTGATGGACTGAATTTAAGAGGTAAGTGGGAGGGGGAATGCAAGGATAGCGCCCAGGTTTTTGACTTGAGCACTTATAGGTGGGTGTCACTTCCACTCCTCCAGGCTCCAAAGGCATCATACTCTACTGATCCCTTCCCCTCCTCCTCCACATCCAGTCTGTCACTGTATTAATCGGGTTGATTCAGAGAAACAGAACCAACAGGATGTGTCTCTATGGAGAGAACATTTTAAGAAACGCTCACAGGGAATTCCCTGGTGGTACAGTGGTTAGCACGCCCAGCTTTCACTGCTGAGGGCTCAGATCAATCCCTGGTCGGGGGAATTAAGATTGTGCAAATTGTGGGGTGGGCGTGGCAAAAAAAAAATCAGAAATTAGCTCACGTAATTGTGGGAGCTGGCAAGTCTCAATTCTACACAGCAGGTCCACAGGCTGGAGCCCCCAGGAAGACCTGATGCTGCAGAGTCCAAAGGCAGTCTGCAGGCAGAATCCCTTTTTCCTCAGTGTTTCCTCAATGCCTTCAATTGGTTGGATAACACCCATCCACATTATGGAGGGTAACCTGGTTTACTCAAAGTTTGCTGATTTAAAGGTTCAGTCAGTCCAGTCTGTGAGTCGTATCTGACCCTTTGTGACCCCGTGGACTGCAGCACGAAGCTTCCCTGTCCAGCACCAACTCCTGGAGCTTACTCAAACTCATGTGCATAGAGTCAGTGATGCCATCCAACCATCTCATTCTCTTGATTTAAAGGTAATTACAAACGAAAAATACATTCACAGCAACAATTAGACTAGTGTTTGACCAAAAACTGAGTACCTAGCCAAAGTGACACATAAAATTAATCATCACAGCCACTAAATCCTGTTGATCCTGACAGTATTGGTTCCTGCCTCTCAGTTGCCATTGTCTTACTTTAGGGTTGTATTCTCAATTCATAAAATATTTACTTATATATTAGATACTGTGCCAAATGCTGGAGATATAACTGTGAATGAAAGATTGTGTCTTAGGGACCTTACATTCTAGTCTTTGCCTTCTGTCTTGCCTCCTTCCAATCCCTCTTTATAAATGGAAGGCTGCATAACATTGCCTCTCACACTTTAACATAGTCATCTAGCACTGGGTTAGAGAGTCTCATGTTTTACAAGCTCTCAGGTGTTGCTAATCAAGAACAAACTTTGAGTAAGTGGGCTGTAGAATATTTTTTGGAAGACTATCTTTATAAAATGTGTACTATTGTAGACTCCGAAAAGATACACCGGAAATGGGCAACAATGGTTGCCACCAGAAAAAAACAGAATGGCTGATGATTGTATATACCTTTTTACAACTTGAATGTTGTACCAAGGAAGTGTTACATATTCAAAAACAAACCAGGAAACAGCAAAAACAAAACAAAAAATATCTGAAACTGTACACCTCTGAAAATCCTGCAGTGGAGTCCAAAGGACAAAAGGGCAGAGTGCAGCTCAGCCCATCTTCAGTTCAGTCGCTCAGCCGTGTCTGACTCTTTGCGACCCCATGGACAGCAGCACACCAGGCCTCCCTGTCCATCACCAACTCCTGGAGTTTACTCAAACTCAGTCCATTGAGGCGGTGATGCCATCCAGCCATCTCATCCTCTGTCGTCCCCTTCTCCCGCCTTCAATCTTTCCCAGCATCAGGGTCTTTTCCAATGAGTCAGTTCTTTGCATCAGGTGGTCAAAGTATTGGAGGAGCTTCAGCTTCAGTCCTTCAATGAATATTCAGGATTGATTTCCTTTAGGATGGACTGGTTGGATCTCCTTGCTGTCCAAAGACTCTCAGGAGTCTTCTCCAACACCACAGTTCAAAAGCATCACTTCTTTGGCCTTCAGCTTTATTTATAGTCCAACTCTCACATCTATTCATGACTACTGGAAAAACCACAGCATTGACTAGATGGGCCTTTGTTGGCAAAGTAACGCACATGCTTTTTAATATGCTGTCTAGGTTGGTCATAACTTTTCTTCCAAGGAGTAAGCGTCTTTTAATTTCATGGCTGCAGTCACAACCTGCAGTGATTTTGGAGCCAAAAAAAATCACTGCCGCCGTTTCCACTGTTTTCCCTTCTATTTGTCATGAAGTGATGGGACTGGATACCATGATCTTAGTTTTCTGAATATTGAGCCAACTTTTGCTTAAAAGCCAACTTTTTCACTCTTCTCTTTCACTTTCATCAAGAGGCTCTCTAGTTCTTTGCTTTCTGCCATAAGGGTGGTATCATCTGTCTATCTGATGATACTGATATTTCTCCTGGCAATCTTGATTCCAGCTTGTGCTTCATCCAGTCCAGCGTTTCTAACTTATTTAAATAAAGAAGATATTTATTTAATATATTTATATATATTAAGTTAAATGTACACAGTCTTGATATACTCCTTTTCCTATTTGGAACCAGTTTGTTGTTCCATGTCCAGTTCTCACTGTTGCTTCCTGACCTGCATACAGATTTCTCAAGAGGCAGGTCAGGTGGTCTGGTATTCTCATCTCTTTCAGAATTTTTGTTTGTGTTGATCCACAACACAAGGCTTTGACAAAGCCTTGTCAAAGGCTTTGCCATAAGTCAATAAAGCAGAAATAGATGTTTTTCTGGAACTCTTGCTTTTTCGATGATATGGTGGATGTTGGCAATTTGATCTCTGGTTCCTCTGCCTTTTCTAAAACCAGCTTGAACATCTGGAAGTTCATGGTTCACGTATTGCTGAAGCCTGGCTTGGAGAATTTTGAGCATTACTTTACTAGCATGTGAGATGAGTGCAATTGTGCAGTAGCTTGAGCATTCTTTGGCATTGCCTTTCTTTGGGATTGGAATGAAAACTGACCTTTTTCAGTCCTGTGGACACTGCTGGGTTTTTCAAATTTGCTGGCATATTCACAGCATCGTCTTTTAGGCTTTGAAATAGCTCAACTGGAATTCCATCACCTCTACTACCTTTGTTCATAAGTGATGCTTCCTAAGGTTCACTTGACTTCACATTCCAGGATGTCTGGCTGTAGGTGAGTGATCACACCATCATGATTATCTGGGTTGTGAAGATCTTTTTTGTATAGTTCTTCTGTGTATTCGTCCCACCTTTTCTTAATATATTCTGCTTCTGTTAGGTCCATACCATTTCTGTCCTTTATTGAGCGCATCTTTGCATGAAATGTTCCTTGGTATCTCTAATTTTCTTGAAGAGATCTCTAGTCCTCCCCATTCTATTGTTTTTCTCTATTTCTTTGCATTGATCACTGAGAAAGGCTTTCTTATCTCTTCTTGCTATTCTTTGGAACTCTGCATTCAAATGGGTATTTCTTTCCTTTTCTCCTTTGCTTTTCGCTTCTTTTCACAGCTATTTGTAAGGCCAACTCAGCCATTTTGGTTTTTTGCACGTCTTTTTTCTTGAGGATGGTCTTGATCCGTCTCCCGTACAATGTCACGAACCTCTGCCCGCAGTTCATCAGGCACTCTATCAGATCTAGCCGCTTAAATCTATTTCTCACTTCCACTGTTTAATCGGAAGGGATTTGATTCAGGTCATACCTGAATGGTCTAGTGGTTTTCCCTACTTTCTTCAATTTAAGTCTGTATTTGGCAATAAGGAGTTCATGATCTGAGCCACAGTCAGCTCCCGGTCTTGTTTTTGCTGACTATATAGAGCTTCTCCATCTTTGGCTACAAAGAATATAATCAAGCGGATTTTGGTGTTGACCATCTGGTGATATCCACGTGTAGAGTCTTCTCCTGTATTGTTGGAAGAGGGTGTTTGCTATGACCAGTGCATTCTCTTGGAAAAACTGTTAGCCTTTGCCCTGCTTCCTTCTGTACTCCAAGGCCAAATTTGCCTGTTACTTCAGGTGTTTCTTGACTTCCTACTTTTGCATTCCAGTCCCCTATAATGAAAAGCACATCTTTTTGGGGTGTTAGTTCTAGAAGGTCTTATATGTCTTTACAGAACCGTTCAACTTCAGCTTCTTCAACACTACTGTGCTTCCCTGATAGCCCATCTTCAGCCCTGTATTATTATCAGTTTACCTGCTCAGCTTATCTCCAGTTGCCGGTCAGATCAGGGAGCATCTTCTGCCTGCGTGCCTTCTACCGGAAACGCACTGGAGCAAATTTCACTTGGTCTTTTAAACTCCTTACTGCAGCGCTCACTTTCTGGAAGCCTTTCAAATACCCTACCGCTCCCCTCCGCGGTTATCATAACCCTTTTGAATTTAACCTCAAAACGCTTCTTTTTGTTGCGGTCATTGCACTGTGTCGAAATCTGTTTCCGTGTCTGTTTTCTCCGCTTGATTGTGCGCTCCTTGAGGGTAAGGCTAGACTCAGACTGAGTTCCGAAATCATTCTGCGAAAGAATGAATCGTGTACTGGGTTCAGGGGGCTCACAGAAGGGAAGGTCCTCGGGCCCCGGGGTTCCCTTCGATCCCTCCGTGATGCTCTGGAGGCAAACGTGCCGGGAGCTAAATCTGAGCTGTCTGGCTGGGAGGCTGCCAGGAACTCGGTGCTCTCCGCTCGCTTCTCCCGGCGCCCTGCGCCCTTCGGGATTCAGAGGCCCACCTCGCCCAGCGCGCTACCGCGCGCCCCTGGGACGCGGAGATCAGTCCGCCGCCCACAGCCGGGCGCGGCGTGAGGACTGTCTGCCGCGGTCGCCGGCGCCCCGGGGCGGGGTCCACGCGAGCAGAGGGCGCGCCGCGCCGCTAGGGGCGGGCTCCGGGTGGCCGGGGAGGAAGGGAGAGGGCAGGCGACAGCCAAGCGCTAGACAAGGTGCTGCCACGACCACCGTACTCCCTGTTCCTTCCTGGGGTGCGCGAGCGTGGGGGCCGGCTCTGCCCACCCCGCCCTTCCCCCTGCCGCACTGGCCCGCCGCACCCCTTAGGCGCCGAATGGAGCGCGGAACGCCCCGCGCGCCCGCCTCTCCCCACGCCCCTTCCGGCCGCCGAGGGGGCGGGGCCTCGGCGTTGAGTCAGCCGCGGTCCCAGCGTTCCCCGCGCGGGCGACGAGCGGGGATCCGGTGACTCACCTCCGCCGCGCTAACTCTCCCCCGTCTTCCCTCATACACGCTCACGCCCGGCTCGATATGGCGGCGGCGGCGGCGGCGGCGGCGGCGGCTGGGGACTCCGACTCCTGGGGTGAGGAGAAGCTCGGGGATCGGGCCGGGCCGGCGCTGGCCTCAGACTGTCATTAACGCGGCTCTCTTCCCGCAGACGCGGACACGTTCTCAGTGGAAGACCCGGTCCGGAAGGTGGGGGGCGGCGGCACGGCCGGCGGGGACCGCTGGGAGGGCGAGGACGAGGACGAGGACGTCAAGGTGGGTCCGCGCGGGGTGGGCCCGGGTGCCCGCCTTGGGGCTGGAGGTCGGACGCGGGGCCCGGGGCGCCGCCCGGGCCTGCGGGCCGTGTGGGGACGCGAGCGCAGGGCCCGGCGGTGCCCTGTTCCGCCGGCCAGAGGGCCGGAGTTGGGCGGCGTGGTCTGCAGAGTCTGCCTGCCGAGTGGCGGGCCCCAGCCCCTCTTAGAGGGTCCGCTCCTGCCCGGATCCCCCGCCAGCCGGCGACAGGCGGTGACAGCCGCGGCTGGGCCGGCCCACGTGCGCACTGCGCGGGGCTGAGACCGGGAAGCGAGAGCGGGGCCCCTGGCTCTTCCCAGATGGGGCGTCTCGTAACGCGTCCCTCGGGCTGGTAGCTCGTCTGCAGCCCCAAAGGGAGGATGAGGTTGGGGCCCCTGGCTCATCCCAGATGTGCGTCTCCTAACCCTCTTGCCTTTTCGAGCTCAGGCGTCCCTCGGACTGGTAGCTCGTCTGCAGCCCCAAAGGCCCGCTGGTAGAGTTTGTTAGAGCTGTTAAATGTGTGAAATATTGTGGTGTAATTTCGGCCACCTTTTTTTTACCCCCACACAAGTGAGATACTTTTTAGACCCCCTTCTCCCTCGCTGTGGTAAAAGGACCAATTGAGGACTGAGATCGCTACCTTAGCGGTCAGAAACCTGGTTGCATAGTCCACACAGCGACTTGAAAAATGGAGCTCTGATAGAGTGGGTCATTCATCTGTACGGCAACCCGTAAGGAAATACTGATTTCGTGGCTGGAGAAGGAAAGGAGCCGGTGTTTGTCGTGTTTGTCCTGTGCTTTGTATATGTCGTTTGTTTCTGAGACCTCCTGGGGACTCAGCGTGTGGCTTCAGATGACATGATGACTGCTGCGTTTGTTTTCGTTTTTCTAGTAGCTACAAATCTAAGTGCAGAATGTTAAGCCTCTTATTAACGAAGTTCTCGAAATCTTTATTTCCGTGAAGATAAAATTTAATATGAGTTGGGAAATGGTTTTCTGTGGTTTTGATTCATTTAGTGAATGGTTTATTCTTCTGACTTCTACCCCCAGCCCATGATAACAAACCCTACAAATCTTTCCGCTTGGGTTAAAAAAATTTTAAGCTAGATAATCGTTATGAACTTTGTGTCCATACTGCTTTTGTTTAGATTTTACTTTTGTCTGATGAGGCGGATGTCCCAACTCATTGAACAGCCTGAGATTCAGGGATGATGTGAGCTTTTCAGACCTTGGGGTTAATTAAGAAGCAGCACTATTGTGAAGATATTTAAATTTTTGTTTCATTTACATGTTGTGTAGACAGGGAATGGATTGTGCTGTCAGCCTAATTGCAAAATATTAGTTACCTCCCTACCCTATAGCAGATTTTGTGTTTTGAGCCTTTAGTTCAGATTTGTCCTTTCACTTCTATGCATAGTAGATGTAGGAGTTAAGACATTTGTTAGGAAAATTGGGAATAGGTGAGAAGAAGCAACTAGAGAATCAGGAATTACCAGAAAATGAAGTTTGAATGAAGTAGTCTAGACTGATAGGAAGAAGCCTGACTGAAATTATTGTATCTAAATGGTGTCTGTCCTGATAAAGAGAATTCTGACCACTTGTAACTAATTTTGGAGGTATAGGAGTTGTAAATCTTACTTAAAGGTAAGTGTTACATAAAGGTTATCTTGTCTCCACACTCTTTCAGTGCAGAATTTGTTTTATACAAATAGCCTATTTCTTTTACTTAAACTTTGAAGTTGATCTTTGAGTAGTAGAAAGCTGAACTTGCCCATTTTATTTCCATGTTGAAATGTTGCTTTATTTCTGTTGAGTTTCTCAAAGATTTCCATGATAATGGAGTAGTTTGGTTCCTAGGAGTTTAGGATCAGACAGACCTGGATCTATACTGTTGCCTTGACAGTTTCTATTTGTGAACATAAACCAGTTTTTTAATCAACCCACGCCCAGCCCCCCCACCCCAATCTTAGTATTACTACGGAAGCTATCTCAGGCATTATTTTGCCCTTTAAAGGAGATAATATATGAAGCATTAAGCAGAGTTGGCTGACACTTGGTAGGCACTGAGTAAACATTAATTCTCTCTTGCTTCTAGATTTAGGCTGTTTAGATCTTGTATCTGGGGTCATTTTTGTGCCACGTTGTGTGCTTTCTTTAGCTCAGTAGGAGTAAGTTCTCTCCATATTGGGTGTTTACTGTGTATTTTTTGTTTTGAATGGAATGACCATGGTTGTCAGGCAAGTTTTTGCTTGCTCAGAATCTAGAGTTGAAATTTGTCACCTTGAATGGTAATGAGAAGGTTTTCCCTGCTTTCTGAAACTAGAGCATTCCTATCAAACCTTTCCTAAGCTGAAAGAAGTAATTACTTTAGGACACACCTTGCTAACAAATGCACAGGATAAGTCCAGGTAAAGCACGGATGCTCACAGACAGAACTCAAAGCTGTGGCAGCTTGGTGCTGAGACTCTGAGAGCTCGGTGGAGAGTGAACTTGGCCTTGGCGGTGCCGCTCTTGCTGCTTAGGGTGCTCGTTGCCACTGTAATAGCTCAGTGCCAAAAACAGATGCACTTTTCAAAAAACAATTTAAAAAAATGCAATTTTCACTTGTCATAAAATGGTAAATTCTCTTTGTATTTCACTTAGTGAACACAGGTACTAAGGTTCGTTGTTAGAAAAAGTGAAGTGTCATAAAGTGAACTTTCAAAAAGTAAGGAATACTTTAATACCAAATTTCTGAATTCTGATGTTCTAATGCTAATCCTTTGGTAGCAGCTGTTAACAAGGTTTAGTTTTCATGAGATTGAATAATCACAGTCCTTAAAGAATACAGTATGTGACTTTTTGAAAAGTCCTTCAAAAGTAAGGGAGGTAGAAACAGTAAGCTCTTCAATCTGTGTCAGCATCTAGTGTTTAACCTTTAAGAGTATAGGCGTAATGTCATTTTTGTAATGTCCTGAGAAATGAAAGGAAAACTAAGGTCTTTTGTTACAGTAACTTGCTCCAATAGGTTAATGTCTTTCAATAGACATAGCATTTTACTGCCCTTGACTTTTCAAATAGCTGTCTGATAGTGGCAGAAGTGTATTTAGGTGAAACTAGAATTGTTCATCTGAGAAGGCAATGGCACCCCACTCCAGCACTCTTGCCTGGAAAATCCCATGGATGGAGGAGCCTGGTGGGCTGCGGTCCATGGGGTTGCTAAGAGTCAGACACAACTGAGCGACTTCACTTTCACTTTTCACTTTCACACATTGGAGGAGGAAATGGCAACCCACTCTGGTGGTCTTGCCTGAAGATTCCCAGGGACGGGGGAGCCTGGTGGGCTGCCGTCTATGGGATCACACGAGTCGGACACGACTGAAGAGACTTAGCAGCAGCAGAATTGTTCATATTCACTTGGGAGGGGTAGGGGAAGGCTGTGCTTCTTCCCAGTTTAAAAGGTGAGAACTGGGGAGCATAGTTTCCTCTCACATTAGCTTTATTTCCCCTTTCTACCCTATCCTGATATCAATGCAGAGGCAGTGGGAGAATTGTTTGCTTGGCATGTATCTCTAGACTCCTTCCTCATTTCTGGAATGATGTGTAAGCTGTGTTGATCATTTTTCCTGCTTACTGTGAGTACCTACCCACTGCAAGCAGGAACAATACAACTTTTACTCCATTTTACTAGTCTCCCATCATTTCACTAAGACAGATTAGAAGCTAGATTTATTCAGAGGGTGTAGAGTTTGTTTTGAGAAAACTTCTGGTTGTAATCAATCATCTCACACATTTGCTTCTATAATGTTATGACAAAATGTCTTTAAAAGACCCTAGAGAACTGGATTAGTTGAAAACTGCATGCCTTATTGTGCCCATTCAGCTGTCTGTTAGGATCGTATCCCAGTTAATAGTTTAAATATACCAGAGTAAGGACATTTTTGAAGCATTGGAAACCACTTCTGAAGTAGACAATCATATTTCAAAGACATGGGAGATTGTTGGGAAGTTTTCAGAAGGTAGGCATTTTGCTAGGAAATGGATAGTGTGTGTGGATGGTGTGTGTGTGTGTGCACGTGCGCGTCTTATGAAAAATCCTAAACACTTACAGAAGTGGAAAGAACTTTAATAAACCCATGACCAACCTTCTATTTTCTATCTTGCTTTTCTGTCTTGCTTCTATTTTCTATCTTATCTTTCTATCTTTCTATTTTCTGTCTTGCTGTTCTCCTCACCCAGCCAGATTATTTTGAAGAAAATATCAATTGTATCATTGTACTACCCTGACAATTTTTTATAAACTAGTGAGTTTTTAGTTGGGAAGTGTGTTTGTTGCTGAAAAATATTTACCTAATAAATTTGCTATCCTGAACCATTGAAAATAAATACGCCATTTGTTTAGTGTTCAGTGTCTTGTTCTTGATCTAGCTTAGCCAGGAATTTGAAGTAGAATTGATAACACTTCCAACTATGAGACAGGTCGGTATTGAGATGGAATTCAGCAGAGTGCTGAGCCATAGTAGTGTGTTAAAAACTTAATGAATTAAGTGAAGTAGGATTTATTGAGACAGATACCCTGGTTTCCAGAGACAAGCAAAGTACTGAGGTGATGGAAGAACATTTGAACTTATTTTAAAAACGAAACTTTGCTGTCAGGTCTGGCCATGGCAGGAGCACACTATGGAGTTCTGATGTTTCTCAGAACAGAATTGGTGCAGCTTATAGGAACACCCAGTAAGAGACTCTTTTGTTTCAAGAGATTATGCTTTATCTAAACCAAACTATTGTACTTAAGAAGGAAAGGAGGAGGTGTATATATTAGTTAATGGGCTTCTGCTGTGGGGCAGAAGAGTTTTCCTGCTCATAGGAAGCTACTTCTGTTTGATGATCTATAAATATATCTTGCTTAAGTTGGAAAGCATTTTCAGCCCTAAACGTGTTCTCTCATTGCATGTGACACTCTGTAGTTGTACATTATAAAAATGACAGACTAGCCAGCTACTGGC